ATATATATATATATATATATATATATATATATATATATATATATATATATATATATATATTAATGCAGTAGAATAAAGAGAACCCAAATATTCCACATATAATGCAAATAACGAGAGCATTGCCAACTGAATACAGCAATCAGAACGTGACGCTCACATGCAAGTGAGGGTGTAAGCAAAGATTGAAAATAAACAAAAAAAGGTGTGGAAAGTATAGGTGAAGAGTGTGAACGACCCCACGAAAAAACAATGAACTAAAGGGTATACGACCAAGCAATGACAAGCACGTTTATAAACGAGACCACCAACAAGACGCTGCATAAACGAGCAATTGCTATCAGAAAACACGAATACAACTACTCAGAAAAACTGTAATACTTACCATAGTGAGGACAAAGTCGAGGGCTTCAGGTTCGAAACCATAGAGCTCGTTGTGGGTGTCGTTGCCTCCCCCTCCCTTTGTTGCAGCTGCTGCTTGAGTTGCATTTTTTTTCAGGACTAAATTGCCTAAGAAGCCGTTCCCCCGCGAGCGCATTTTGGGGCTTGGATGGTCCTCCAACTGAGCAGAAGGGGCCCTTGCTGCTGGCGTAGTTGCTGCTGCTGTGCCAAACGCCACGTAATCATCAATCGTCTCCAGCCGGCAGTTCGCAGCGTCTGGGTCGTTGTAGGGCACCATCATCTTCTTGTCCACCTGGATATGCGTACCCCAAACAATTAACCCTACACCATAAACCCTAAGCCCCGAACTACAAACTGTCAACCCCTAACCGTTGCTATTTATTTGTTCTTCAGGATGTTGTGCTGCGAGCTCGCAGGGAACTTCTTGAGGTTACCCCGTGGAAAGACAGCTCGAAGAAGTGAAATGAATATTGTGAGTATTATGGCCCCGTCATTACTGGCCAGTTTTATATTTCGCCCTTCAAATGCAGCTGCCATTACTCTTGGTGGTACTCTCACGGTTGTAAATGCCGCCAGTAAACACCATTTCTGGAATGTAAGCATCATTATGAACTACTACTAGTGATCATTTAATACACAGGAAACAGCCGGAGTTATACAATAATTATGTAAATATAACTATAATTATAATAAGCATTGCTACTGCACTATTTTAAATTGAATCCAAGGCGTACTTTCGCCGCCACGGCCATTTTGGCCTGCGCCAGGGCCCCCTCGTCTGCAACAGTCTTTGGCTCCCCCGCTTGGCCCGCCACCCCATCTCCCAGCCGCTGCAGCACGAAGCAAGAAAACAAGAAGGAGAACGTTAAACATGAGCTGCTTATCTATGATGTTTGCGCCCCGCTGAAGAGTAGGGCACACTCGTTGGCACTATGCCCATGCATTCTATTCTATTTATATTTGTTCTGTTCATTACTTCGCACGCAATTATTTCCTACATGCACGCGTATGATGCACCGGCACAGTATTTGTATTTTGCTTCATGCTGCATTTACATATACGAGAAATCCACAGAGTTTATGTGCATAGACAGGTGCAACAGGTATGATGCAGCTAGAGCAGTATGCTTCATATTTGTTTTTTCGTCTCCATTGTTTGCCTAATTTGTGCTAAGCTTCTCCTCACTCTGGCATTTTCAGCATCCTCAATGAGAACTTCCTCCATGACCTGCAGTTTGAACATTTCCCTTGTCTGCACGACAGCAGCCACACACCCAACAGGTCCATGTATTGTATACGTACATGAACATATGAATGCATATATACATGCATGAATATACATGCGTTACCAGAAAGCAGTTCACATTTGAAGTCATTGGTTAGCGGTTTCTGCTCCGCGCTACTTGGAAGTTAGTGGAGCTCCGATTGTTCAGCAACCAGCAGAAGATGTGCGCAGCAACGCTAATGAAGTTGAACCAGCATTGCACATCTTGTTTACCCTTTGGAGGTCAGGTGTTGGTGCGTGCTTACCTCTTCGCGTTCCTTTTGTTCCAGCCAAGGGAGAAGAGGATTAAGGGTAATGTACGCCATTCCTACATCGTTCATGGTTTTCCCCGAGATTCCCTCAACTTCGTCGTGCACCTTCACTTCCATAAAGCAGTGGTGCTGCATGCGCTTCGGCAAGGAGACTGAGACGTTAAAATGCTGTAAAAAATTCCAATTCCCCCCCTCCCCGACGTGCGGCTCGCTCGTGCGTTCCGACCAAAGCGGCTTCGTTGTGTCCTCGACGTCGCGGCCGAAGCATACCTTTACACCAACGCGCATAAAGCACAAACAAGTCCACTGAACCAACTAGCAAAGAAAGCAACGACCTGCCAAAAACGCATCTTTGCAAGTAAGAAGACTGAATGAACACGCAAAACTCAGGCGCTACCGGCAACTGATTATGCTCATTACGCATGCACGTTGTTTGTGGGAACTGTACTACTCAACGTGTGCATTAGTAAACAATGATTCATGCTACATATGCAAATCCGAAAGTGATGATTGCTTATACGTATATAAATATATATATATATGCATATGCATGCTGACCATATCTATAGATACGTACCTCTACAAAGGGTTTTTGAACAGGGGAGAAGAGCCGCACGCCAACCAAAAAAATGGAGACAGTAGCCTCTTTGGTGGATGGTCTGATGTCATCGTAGAAAGGATAAGTGTCATTTTCCACTAGCTCCGCGGGCACGAGTTCGAATGCTACTAAGACCTTTGCCTTGCACCGCGGATACTGTTTAGACTGCAGCATTAGCCAGACAGGCGCTTTCTTCCACTCTTTCGGCACCTTCTGAATTGGAAAGCTGAGATAAACAAGCACAATAAACATAACGCACCACATCGTAGGCCTTCAAAGGCTGTAGCACAACTCCTAAATTGTTCTCTCTTCGCGCCTCTTTCTACGAAGTGATGATGGGAACTGCCAGTGAGGAGCAACACAAACGAGCGAAACTAACGCGAAGACCCGCAGCTTCAACATATAGTAGTGAGCTCACTTTTATTATTAATATTTATTATTACTATTCATCATTATTGACGCAAACTTACGTTGTTGATCCGAGGACGGTGTCTGAACTCATTATCGAGTCCGACTCCGAGCAGACTTCCAACTGCAGGCAATCAGCAGAAGCATTCTCTTAAATAATTAGCTGTGCATGCGGATGCAAGTTGAGCTTCTCACGATGAAACCAACACAGTAAAGGCGAATGAAACAAAATAATTCAAAAGAAGGAAACCCACCACAATGTCCGGTGCCAACTGCATCATCTCGGGCAGAATGACTTCCATCTCCATGGCCTCGTAGTACGAAGGGTTTAGCGTTTGTCGGAATGTGAGGGTCTTCAGTTGTTGACTCCCAAGCACGACCTGCACATACACTCGAGCAGCAAATGCTTTCCCACTCCCTTTTTTCCCTCATTGAATTAACAGGCCACCGGATGCTTACTGCTTTGCTACTCGAACATACGACCAGTAGTTCTTGAACTGCCGCAAATTGTGGCTTTATTTTTATATCAGGATATTAGGAGGCACAGCAACAATATTAGTAATAATAATAATTCGTTTTGTGAGGCCTCTTCTACCGCACCTTTATGTAGGGATTGGGGAACTGGTCGTAGCCCACGGCCGGGAGGTGCAGCCCTTCGTAAATTAGAGCTCGGAAATAGTACCTGCATGCAGTCCGCACAGCCGAGGGCAAAATATTTCCATTGTTCTCCACCAACCTACTGCAATGGCGTAGCTTGCTAGTGTGTCTTCCTGCCAGTCGAAAGCCAAAACATTATTTCCTGTGCCCTTTGTATAAACTGCAACGCCCTGAAACCCTCAATTCATCCACCAGACCAGGCATTCTAAACATCCAATATTGCAACACACCGCTGCAGGTTGTACTGAAGCCTGGCGGGTCGTTCGCCCATCATCCTCGCAGGTTTACACGTGATGGAGACTAGCACCGAGAACGGGTCTGTTCCGGATCCGTCAGCTGCGCGGAGCGAATACCACATGGGTTTGCCTTCTTGCAGGGTTTTGGAGTTGAAGGGAATCATGGCCCAGGCCAAATGGGTTGTTTGTGCACTCTGCTCCGCGTTCGCCTCCGCATCAGCCCCCGCTCCACCCGTCAGTCCCCCAAACCAATTCATTACATTCGCCGCCACATTTGCTGCTGCACTGGAAGAGGAAATCTTGTTAATATACAGAAAAAATGCCCAAGTCTGTGCGTCGTCAGCTGCAGTCCAACACAATTACAGACAGACGAAAATAAACTTCAGCGCATAAAACACGACCCCGTTGGGTTCGCATGACGCAAAATCAGAAAATCTACTAAACGCCTCCTCTGCACACGTCATGTGAAGGTCTCAGTCTCTATGGAGTGGTGGCAGTATCCGGCTACTGCAATTCCCCTCCACTAGCAAACAAACATATTTAGCCGCGAGTGTATATCCCGATTTTTATTTTATTGCACTATGGGTTGAACCACACTGCAGCCCCTCTGAAAAGGCTTCTGATTGCAGAAGGTGCATTTGTATATATTTAACTACTTAAATATATTTACCTACGTACCCACAAACTGCATTTATATATATTTAAGTGTAGCTGCGTACGTACCCGGAAGGTACACCTTGAGCTCCTCCATGCGTCCCTGTTCTGCCTCTAGGGTGTAGGAGCCCGCCTCTTCGATCACGAGAGGTGGAGACTTAAGTGCATGCGGCCCAAAGGAAACCTCTGCCTGCATTTCATTGCTGAGAAGCGAACTGCAAGACACCTCGTAGACGTCTACCCACAGCACGTATTCCACTTGAGGCGGCTCGTGCACAGCTCTTATTGAACGAACACCCATAGGCAACGGGGCCTGCACCTTCACACAAGACGCGCTCAACAGTATGCGGCCTGCGTAGGCATTGGCCTGCCTCAGCTCTGCATTCGTTAGCATATCTTGCACAGCACCAAACAGACCTGCGCATACACCCCATTAGAACGCAAGCCGCACAAGGTACACCACAACTGCATGCTCATTCAAATCCACATCCATGCGTAAATGCAGAACTGGCAAGCAAAGGAACAACCAAAACACATAGCCACCGTCTACTGCGGCACGTGCAAAGATGCACACCACCTGAGCCAAAGAATGTCCTTAGATGGTTTAGACGTCTACAAAGTGTAGAAAATTCAGCTTTCTGGTGAATGTATTAATGTAGAAACATCAGTACATAGCGCATGCAACCGGAAGCAGCCATCCTCAGTCCTTGATACATAGTAGTAAAGTGTTTTGCTACACTTGGCTATATTCAGACCTTCAGTAGGCGGCCTCCAGTAGAAGTTGAACCAGCGTGTGGGTGTCTCGTTTTTAATGAGTTCGAAGAAGTCTAAGACAAGAGTGGCCATCAGCACTGCGCTGGTGCTGCCCCCGTTCCAGAGTTCCACCAATACCGTGTCGTCGTGACAAGGCATGCAGGCAGGCAGAGATATCGATGCCTGCCACTCGGGGCTGTGCTCAGGAAGAGCCCGTGTCTGCAACTCTGCACCCCCATGCTTCACCTGCAGTCAGTATAAGCACAGTCGCGCATTATATATATATATATATACCCATATTGATACATATTTTCTATATATTCTCCACCTCCTTATACCTCCGCTTCCGAGGGTGTGCTGCCTTGAAAGTTGAACCCTAAACCTCCGAAATAATAAAACCTTTAAACAACGTCAGGCAGCAAAATGGCCAGGCAAGAAAACGCGAAGCGATAGGAGTGGCCTCAATTCAGGCTCCACCATCTTGTCTCTTTAGTTCGCCCTGTCTGTCCGCCTTAATACTATTGTCGTAGCTATTATTGTCAGTTATATGACAATACTAATAATACAGTGTATGCATTGCATTACCTTGACGAAGGGTTCGCAGGTGGTGGTGAGTTGCCCGATGACCGCGCTGATATCTTGGCCTTTGAATATATTGACTGTTAGGTTGTAGTAAGTCGATTTAACATCCACTTCTTTTGTCATCCTATCTCCTTCTTCGTTTACATACGCCACAGTTTCGTCTATCACAGGCAGAGGGTCGCCCGGCCCAAACACGCCAACAGTCAGCAGCATCATTCCCTGCATGGATGCAGCAGCAGCTCAGACGCAAACAGGCACAGGGGAGCAATTTACGGAAACCACGAGTTCAGCGTACACACACCTCAACTCACACCCCGAGTTACTGAGTGCATTGCTGAGTCGTTGTGGTATGCAAATTAGACAACACCAAACGCATTTCAAGTAATACATCAGTAACAACACTTCTCAGCTTGTGGCTGCCTGAGGATCAAGAAGCGGTAACCAGTTAGCAAATGCAGCACACTTCCACAGGCAGAAAGCCAGCACCACGACGATGAGCAAACAGCCAAGCTGAGACGAAAGGCGAGCAGGCGAACAATAGTAGACAATTGAAGACAACGAGAAAGCGAAACTGAGGAAGGAAAAGGATAAGAATAATGATAGCTTGCGCGTACGGGGTCGGCGATGAGCTGTTCGAAATTGTTGAGTTTAATCCATTGTCTGTAAATCCAATGTTGGCTCTTGGAGTAGACGCAGGCGAAGCTAAGTACATATTTTCCAATGAGTGCGCTTTGCAGGCCAACGCCTCCCAGCAGAGTGTATCTATGCATGACGTCGAGCTCGATATAGCTTCTTTGAAATTCCTCAGGAGTCAAAGTGGCTTGAAAGTTAAATGAAGCATTGAAAGTAGCTGATACAACCTGATTTTTCTGCACTGTACTCTTCGTAGTACCCCCCACAGTAACGTCCACATAAGGATTAGGCACTATCTCTTTCTCCCCCGCTGATTCCTTAAAAGACAAACCCCGCACCTCAATTACCTCCACCTTTATCGTGTACGGTATCGCCCGCACAGCCATCTTGCTGCTAACGAAAATGCCGACGGATAAGCAACAGACAAGTAATCAGGAAACGAAGCAGGGGCTGCCCAATTCAATAAATCGCTATGGGACAGAAAAGCCGGAGCCGCTCCCCCCCATGTCCACACAACAAGGCAGAGGAAGCTGCAGATATCCGATAAATGTGAGAACAGAGAAGCTGAAGAAGAAACAGGCAATGCCGAAGAGCAGGTGAGATATCAGATAAAAGGGAGTACAAAAGCGGAGCTGCGGCAGACGAAGTCCGCCGCCAGAAAGCTGTGGCGCCAGGAGCTGGCCACAGAAAAACATGAGTGGAAATACGGAGTAAATGCGCTTACACGAAAGTCGTTCTGCATCTACAAGCACGAACACGCATACACGGTCTGCATTTAGGAGCATAATCATGAGCAACACAAGGACACATCTGCACCGCCGGTGTAAGAAGAAGCTGAAATACAACAGGCGAGGGGAACTTCGGCTCGAGATCACCAGGTTTCTCTCCACATTCAAATTAAGTAAAAAACAATAATACTAAACATTATTAAAAGGGAAAGACAAGAGAGGAAAAGAGGGCAAACAGGTCGTGCTTGTCAACTTCAGGCGCTGAGGCTCGCGCGGGCCTCGACGGGGCGATCGAGTAGCAGTTGTGAAGTCAATGATGAACTAATTCAACGAAAATGAGGTCAAAAAACAGAGTAAAACAGTAATATACCCCAAAATGTACATAGTGCAAATAATAACCCAACAAGAGCGGCCCAGTGGAACGCGCAGAGCCGCCACAGCTGACTGCACCGGGCAACCTCAAGCCTTTGTGCTGCCTTCGGCGTTCGTAGTGCTTTTCCGAATAATGTTTAGTCAATACAGTCAAAATGAATTCAAATGTACTCGTTAAAAACAGAAGGTCGGTGTACGCGCAAAAGAGCAGATCACACAAGGCCAGAGAGGGCCCCAGAGGCCCAAGGGAGGCACCGCTCTCGGAGGTACCCGTCTGCCGTGCGAATCGGCAGTTGAAGCCTGAAGAAACTTTGGTGAATTTGCGTTTATTTCGGCTCCACTAGTGTTAAGTTCTTCCTTCTCTTAAAATTTGTCCGTTTTTTCCCTCTTTCCTTCCGTTTAACCCCCCACCGTTGCGCTGGCGGCCGCGTCGTCTGCATGCAAGAGCAGCCGCACCGCGGCCTTTCCCTCTCGTTTCAGCTTCCCATCCACATGAAGTTTTGTTTGAATTGCTGCTAATCTGGGTGTACAGCCGGTGCTTCCGCTTGGGCGGCCCTACTTTCTCGCCCGCGGCGTCTCGGTGCCCATACATGGCAGCAAGCTGAGGTTGTTGTGTCAGTCAGGGGGAGGGACGCACGCTCTTACTTTGCACTGCAGAGGGGGGCTCAAAGAGTGTATTCTCAGGCCGCCATCTGTTTTGGGGCCCTGCTGCATTTTGTTGGCCCTGGGGTGTCTGTATCCCTGCGCCCCTCACGCCATCAGAATTTTGTGGCTTATCTTTTAAATCAGAATGCTTCAAAGCGCCTTTTTTGAAGCCCAAGCGGAGCGTAGTTCCGTTTTGTCCCCAGAGGCCCCGACAGAACGGACTGAGGGCCTCTCTGGGGCCGCTTCGTTGCACATCAGACCCCAGCAAACGGGGGGACCCTTCTCGGCTCTTCACCCAGAAACCTGTGGGCAGCGCATGAGGGACGTGGCCGATGCTCGCGGCATGGGGTCCCATGCCGGGTCCAATGGAGCAGCTGGGGAACCTGTAGGGGAGCCGCCGCCTCGTGTTGTACCCAGGGGGCCGCCTTCGGCTCGGGGGCCTCCCTCCCGTTCTGCTGCCACTGCTGCTGATTCGTTTAGCGCAGCTGCACCAGATGGACCTCTTGGCCATGAGATGCAGCAGCTTTCTTTTGATTTGAAGGAGCATCTGCATGTGGAGTCGAAAAGAACCCGGACTGTGCCCACGTGCTGCAGCTTGTGCAAACCTCCCCAACCAGCAGACGGAGGGGGTCCCCGCTCTCCTGCTGATGCTACTGCTGGAGGGCCCTCAGCAGCTCCTGCAGCATCACCAGGAACAGCATTAGGGCCGCTGGCTACTTCCGAGGCGTCTCCTCAGGGCAGTGCCTCTCCTGCTGCGGAAGCAGCAGCAGCACCAGCAGCAGCAGCAGCAGCTGCTGCTGCTGCTGCTGCGCGGACGAAGGTGGGGGGAGGGGACGACTGCTGCTTGACCTGCAGCTGTCCCTGCCACAACGCCAGCAACAGCGGCGCAAACTGCAGCAGCAGAAGCAGCATCGTATGCTTCGAGGGGCCCCGAAGACCCCCCACCTTTGCCGCCAATTTGGCAGACCTCTGCAAGGCGTTTCCTTCGGTCCATCAGGGGGCAAGTTGTTGTGTTTGTGTATAATCGCACTTATATTGCATTTGCACCCATTTCACCCGCTTCCAATAGGTCAATTCAATACGTTTTCTTTACTACAATGGTCCGTGTGTTTCATCCTTAGGCAGTGGAGCTGTCTCTGTTCGTCTTTGCCTCAGCTGTGCATACACTCCAGTTGCTGGCGTGCCCCGCTGAATGTGCATTTTTTGCAAGTGGGGAGGATGTGCATGCGCACGCTTTGCATGCATGCATGCATGCACGCAGGCATGCATGCATTGGTTTCAACTTGCCTCGTTTGCCGTTGCTGCTGCAGCTGATTGTCTCCCTGCTAGAGACGGCAGACAACGACTTGCAGAGGGCTCATGCCCTTGTTCGCGTTGTTAGTGACACCAACACCGGCCTCTACAACACAAAGACTGGGGGCCCCATGGCTAAGCGGAAGAGGTGTCCTGATGGTGCGTCTGTCTCCCTCTCAGTTGCAGCGTGTGCTGCAGCAACGCCGGCAGCAAAGGTAGCTTCTACAGAAGCAGTAGCTCAAACAGCAGCAAGAGCAGCAGCAGAAGCAGTTGCAGCGGCTAATGCAGCTTCACGGCACTGCATGTACCGGCAGCAGAAGCTTCATGCGTTGGCTTTGCTGCTTGGCCGTATTGGGTTCCTTTTGGAGGGACTGGGTTTCTTGTTGGAGTGTTTGTGCAGCTCCTCTGCCCTCCCTCAGTCCTAGCAACTGTCCGGCGATGTTACTTGAAAACACTGTTCACTAGATCTCGCAGTACAGAAGAAGGGTTTCCATTTTCTGTTTCCTCCCGTTGCGCATGCAGATTGCCTGGAGGCCCTGGAGGGCCCTGCAGCAGTCCTCGGCGACTGCAGGAGAGGATCTGCTTCGATGGAAGTGGCGGACGGAAGCCCCACCAGTGGCTCTGCTGCTGCTGCTGCTACCGCTGCCGATCAGCAACAATCGCTGCAGCAGCAGCAACAACAGCCACTGAGCGGCCGAGTTTCTGGTTCAGTCTCCGTGGCATCGTCCGCCGCTGCAGGTGCCACGTTAGCAGCAGGTTCTACAGGCTCAGTAGCAGGAGCAGCAGCTGATTCAGCAGCAGGCAGAGCAGCTGCAGGATCCCAACGTGGGCCAGTGGTGTTAGGGCGCGAGCTGCTGCCCGATTCGTGGTGTGATGAAGTAGCGGAGCGGCTCCTCTGGGCCATCGTCACTGCAGCCAGCGGAGATGACGCGAAGGCAAAGGCAGCAGCGCTGCTGAAGGAGCATGCAATGCAGCTGGCGCATGCGCAACAAGATGAACCTTCTCAAGCTGAACTCGCCAAAGAAGCGGAAAGTAAGCGGCGAGGGAAAGGGGAGGATGTGGACCTGCTGCCCCTGTTGTCGCCTGTTGTCTCTCGCTTTTGTCTTTTATCTGTTTCTATTGTCTGTCTTTGCCCGTCTCTTGTTTGGCCGTCTGCGTATGTTGTCTCATTTTGTCTGTCGCTGCCTCTGTTGCTGTTTCTTGCCTCGGTGGTCTCTTCTTGCCTGTCTCGGATGTCTGTCTTTGTCTGTCTCTCTTGTGTTTTTTGTTTTTCTCTGTCTCCACCTGTCTCACTGCAGTGCACTGCAGTCCGCTTCTCCCCGTTCCTGCGGATTCCTCCCCATTTTTCTCTTTGCGGGCGTGTAAATGTTCTAATGGCTGTGAGTGTTTCATTGGCTTTCGATGATTAAATGACTATAAATGGTTTAGTAGGTTGAGGAATAAGCGTGTAGAAGAGTTTGTGATGTACCTACGCTGCAGGGCAAGAGCTGGCGAAGCGGGTGGAGTTGTTGCAGAATGACAAACTGCTGCTTGCAAGGGCCGTGAAGGCGCAACACGAGAAGCTGCAGGTAAGAAGACCACTGGTCCCACGCACAAACAAATGAACAAGTAAGCGAAAAACAAAGCAAATGAACAAACGGACTGAGGATGCAACGAATACAGCGAGCGGGAGGACAGGAGAGAGCAACAGGGCAGGGGATTCGTAGGGGGGCAAGAAGAAGGAACGGCTATTTCGTTGTGTTTATTAATGTGGATGATGACGATGACACTGTGGACTTCTAAGTGGCGCGTGTGCACCTTGGTGACTTTTTGCTGCCATATGCGTGCGTGTTAATACATTATTTATGTAATAGCCACAATTTCTTGCGGGGGTTTCATTTTCTACTTTTTGTTCCGGTGTGTGCGCAAGTTGGCATTCCTTTTTCGTGTTGTATATGTGTGTTTTCCTGCTCCTTTTGACTCCTGCAGACGTTGCAGCAGAGTCTCGCTGCAAAGACAGAAGAAACTCGTTACCTCGTGCAAGAGCTCAACGGCGCTCAGCAGCGCCTTCGGTCGCTGCGGGATGCGGCGTCTGCTTTGCTGCTGGGGGCCTCCGCTAACCGCAACAACAGTCCGTGTCGTGACAACACATTCGACAGGCGGTGAGATTTCCAGACACTTCAGTGCATGCGAAGGAATAAGCGCATTAAGCTCACCAAATCTATCCACTTGCCAAGGAGGGATCCTTGCGAGGTCCCCTTTCACGGCTACATGGGGCCCCTTAAGCTTTTCAGGATCTTCACAGAAGCTTCTGAGGGACCCCACTTCCTCGCATTTCTCCAGCGTCTTCCTTCTCGTGTTTACGGTGCTTGGCCGGCCTGGGAGCTGCTTTTGCTACGGTGGCTGCGCAAGGATGGCCCGATATGTTATGTTGCACGCACATTTGCTCTTCTGTCGATTAGTCTGTATATGTGTTGCGTGCACATTGTTCTGTCTGTATTTGCAGCTTTCCAGACGTGTGTTGACACGACGCACCACTTGTTGCTGCTTCTTAGCATGCAAAGGAGTAAACTCCCGCGGGGTTCCTTTGGATTTATTTACAATTTCTCCTGAATGTGAATTGAAGTCGTTTCGACTGATATGCAGAAGTAGAAGTGGAAGGAACGGAAAAAGCCGGCTGTCGTGACACTCGAGCAGGGAGACAGCAGCTGTAATCTGTGCACACACATTTGGTGCGCACGCATTCATTTGCATTATTTACACCCGTCTGCACACCCACGTCTTTGTGTGCACAGACGGACAGATATATTGTACACAAGCGGGTTCATCTGTGCACATCTGCGCTGTGCAGATTTGCATTCATTTGCGCACAAGCATGCGTGCACGCGTGCATGCATGCAGAGTTGTGTCCATTTGCGCGCATGCATGCATGCATGTTCGTGCTTCTTGGTGCACATGCCTGCCTGGACATGCGCATGCACGTCCGTTGGTGTGTTGGTGCATACACCCGCTAATGCAGATTCTTTACACGTAGAGTGGCTGCAACAGATTGCGGCTGCAGTTTTTGTTTGCGCCGCTAAGGCAAACAAAATCAAAACTGAACGATATTTAGGCAGGGGCTTCGGCAGCTGCCGCTCTGCCTTTATGGGCATCTTCCCCTACTCAGCTTCGAACAAGTGAAAAAAGTACAAATAATTCAGTTTGAAAACTAGGGGAGAGGGTGAAGTGTTTAGCGTTGCTAAAGTATACAGAGCGAAGGCAAGAGGTGCAGAAGTTGATCATTCAAATATACACAATTTAAAAATGAGTATTTACCCCGACAGTGAATAATAATTGACGAAATTGTCAATTATAGTTCGAGCGCCTAAGCACGAATGGCTTGGCTTCGAAATTTTAGTTGCTGAAATCTGAACAGCAAAAAGTATATATATGCAAAGTTGCCGATACGAGTTGAAGTTAGCAAATATATCACGGAAACTGAAAAATGAAGTCACAGTTGTTGAGAAGTGGGTAAGAGAAAAAAATTCAGATGAGCTGATATAAAAAAATACATCCGGAAATCTTACCTATAGGTAATTCAGATATGACATGCTCGAATCTAAGAAACCAATCCCAACCTTAGAATTCCCTGACTGGAAGTAGTATGATCAGCTGCGAACCGAATAGTGCAATGTGGTGGAAGCTAACAGGAAAACAGGTAATTTGTTTTTTTCATTTCCGTGAATGTGAACAGCTTTAGTTCAAACGGCGGCAGCACACACAGGAGGCGCTATATATACATATATATATATATATAATATGTATGCATACCTATGCAAACAAGGGTGCGGCAGACAATAAAAATACTTTTATGGCCGTCTCGAAAAACTATCGCTTGGAGAACGCAACGAGCTATCAGAAGTACAACAACTCAAATTTGAGCAAGCAAGGGTGACCGCACGGCCAGCAGGACCAATAGTTGTGATTTTACGTGCCTGCATGCGGAGCAAATAAAAAGCCAACTCTTGTAGATATGAAATTTCCTTCCTGTGTGGATGCATGCGCACCATGCAGTCAAAAGCAAAGCCCCAAACGAGTTCGTATCTGCATGCACTTGGTAAGCTGTGTACGGCTCTTCGGGTGTAGCAGAAACTCTCCCGGGTTTCCTTTGAAGTTATCTGTGCTGGACGACACCCCAGCTGCTCAAGCTGCTTATATGTTTACACACTACAACGAAATTCTTCACTCAACTGCAAGGAAGGCTATCATTGGTTCTAATTCTATTTGCTGTTCAAATACGATTTTAATAACGATGAACGGAGATGCAGCCCTGATTAATTTCCCTGAGTTGCAAAAAAATTAGCTACTGCAGTTGCAGTTCGTAAACAGTTGCACTTCCTTCTAGTCCAACAAACAGCAGAAACAACCAAAACGCGCTGGCCACACTCCGGTCTTGTTGCCTCTTTCTTCGTCTGTCTGATTTTGTAATTGAATCCGACAGAATAAGTAACAGAAGTAAGTTCGGAAGCCGTCATAACATAAATATTATATATATATGTGTATATATATATATATAAAGGGCCTCTTGGCCCCTCCTTATTTTTCTTCTAGGCTATCTGCACACCGAGGGACTTCAGCGAGCAGCTAACGTATTGCCCTCTCGAAAGCAGCATAAGCCGCAGTTTTAACATTTCCATCGGGGCCAACTGTCATTCCTTCTCTTTCGAAATCGAAAATACCATTTGTCCCCTTTGCCCCGCTGAAGGAGCTGAGCAACAGGCCCGGCCACCTCAAAGGAGATAGAGAACGCCAGTAAGCTGAACGCGTTGGGTGAAAGAAGAGAAGATCCGTAGCAACCGCAGCAGAACCAAAGACGAATAGCAGCAAACGCAAACTCTCACAAAACTCCTTGAACTCCCCGTAACTCTGAGCACGGCGAACCAGGCCAGCGGAAACCACTTCAATGTGTGGATGCAGCTGCAGCAAAACAAAAAACATACGCAGAATATCCAGCACTCAGCAAAAGGAAGTAGACAAACTACAATGTGCAATGCTGACCGCCGTAGCACAGAATTAACGCAAATGCACGTCAACCCAGCAACAGCAGCAGCATCACATAAGCAGCAGAGCAGCAGGCTCCAGCTCGAATCCATCTTCGCTAAAGATACTTCTGTGCCCGTTTTTTTCCTCTCTTTTCGTAGTGGCAAGCAAATGTTGTATGCAAAACCAGGATAGCACCAGGAAGGATTTTTGCGGCATTCACCTTCCAGGTCTTGAGGTCGAGAGGGTCGAAGTCCGGTCCTCGGACTTCATTTCCTAGAAACCGCTTCTGAAGAAGGAAAGAGGCTGAAGCTGCTGCTGCAGCCGCTGGGTTGATGAGGTGAGGCGAGAAGCCCCTGTGCATCCCTCGAACCAAGGGGGCGCCGTGACGAGAAGCTACTGCTGGAGAAAACATCACAAAAGTGATTTAAAGGTCCAAATAAACAAATGCGCAGAAGGGACGAGAAATGAACCAGCTGCTAGCAACGATGCAACAACGCAGAGGGGCCCCTGCCCCGCCACTCTCGTCACCACCGGTTGTTTTTCAGTTGCGGTATTTAACGGGAAATATGAAGTGGCCAATTGAGCAATTAATAATACGTTCGGGGGGGAATTTTACTAGTTCCCCTCCAGAGTAGCAAGAAGTGTGCGCAGACACCCAGTGGACTATATACAGAGAGTGGAACGGGGCTGGGAGTCAGCGGTGTCCAACTAAAAGCTGTTGTTTTCCTATTTAATTGACATCATTATATTTGCGACTGTCATTATTTCCTGGAAAAGCACCTGCAGTTCTGTTCTGTGCCTCCTTCAGCTGTCTGCTCTCCGGACCGTCGCCTCTCCTTCTGCACGGCCGGAATCTTTCTTCATTCCTATTGATTTCTTCTTCGAGTGAAGGAAGCGAAAAAGGTGTTGTATTTTATATTCTCTCGACCGGTCAGTCCTCTCTTTGACCCTACCTCCCACCTTGACCTGCACCCAGCATCAAGTTCTGATCGCGTGAGGTGACACGGGTGGCCGTGTGTATCTGCACGCCACGTTGCACTCACCAACGCGTGCTTGTATTCACACCGTTTGCGAGCGATGTACGGATTGTGTTTTGATGAGCCGCCACCTGCAGCAGAGTATCGTCCAGGCCCTTGCTCTGCCGCTGTGTACGCACGACACCCACCCACCCACC